TTATATAATTAATTTTTTCTTTTTTAATAAATAATAACGTAAAAAGTTAATAATAATAATTATACACTTTTATAAAAACAAATGTAAGACACTTTAATTGAAAAAAAAAACCTTAAAGAAGAAAAATTCTAAAGCTATATATGGAAAAAACAACTGAATATCCAAAGTAAGCATAAATAATTTATAAATCTTACAAACTAATAAAGTATGTATTTTCTTTTATGAAATTCTTCTAAAATATATTTACTTTTACAAAAAAATTAATAATAATAAAAAAATTTTAAGAACCAATAATTCATTAAATTTATTAAAATAATAATGTATTCAATGAATTAAATTTTAAACATATAGATATAAATTTACTTATTTCTTTATATGAAAAAAAACCAAATAATCTAGTTTTAGATTTAGACGAAACATTAATTCATTCCAATATTAAATAATTAAATTCTTAAGGATTTAAAATATTTATAGAAAGCAAGAATCAAATAAAAACATACTATCTCCATAAAAGATAATATTTGGAATATTTTTTAATTAATTCTGCAAAAAACTATAATATATATATATATACTTCCTCTTAAAGTAATTATGCTGAAGAAGTTATTAAGCATATTGATCCTTTGAATATTATAAAAAAAATATTCGCTAGAGAATATTGCTTAGTTGAGTAAAATGTTATTAAAAAAGACTTAAGATTACTTAATATAGATTTAGATAGAACTATTATGATTGATAACTTAGAAGCTAATGTATATAAAAATAATTAGAACTGTATTAAAATAAATGATTTTTTAGGAGATTTTAATGACTGTGAGCTTATTAGATATTCTTAAATTTTAGATTAAATTTATAAGAGTAATTTAAATATGTAATAAATAATTAAATAATTGTAAATATGATATAAGTTTTGTATATTTAAAGCGAAATAAATAAATAATATATTTGTTAAATATATATTTTTTATATATATATTTATTTTTTAAGATATAAATTATATATATAGTACTTATTTACCTAATATAATTACTTTAAATAAACTATTTACTTTATAATACTTAATTTACTTACTTTATTTAGTTTAAATGCTTTAATTACATTACTTACTTTAATTATTTTATTTACTTTACATACTTTACTTAAAATAATTACTTGAATTACTTTATTTACTTATCTTAATTAATTGGATTTACTTCCTTAAATTAATATAGTTATTTTAATTAGTTTATTTATTTTAATTAAGTTACTGAATTTAATTAGTTTAATTATTTAAAATTGTTTACATAATTTAAAATAAAAAATAATAATATGTATACATAAGTATATTAACATTAATTATATTTAATTTATTTTGATTTAATTTAATTTCAATTTTTAATTATATTTATTTATTTTTTAGATTTTTATTTATTTTATCTTTGTTTGTATTTTTCGATTTTTTTTATTATTTAAATTTAAATATAATGTATAGATAATTAAAATTATGTTTTATTGATATCTAGTATTAATTATAATTTTTCTTATTTATAATATTTTTAACTATTTCTTATATTAATTTTTACTTTATGTATAATAAAAATTATAATATTATTATATTTTTATTATATAATAATTTATAAAATTAATTTCATTAATTCTAAATGCCTTTGTTAATTTTAATTATTAAATTAATATAATATTCTTTACTTATATAATTATAAATTATAATATTATATAAACTTATAATGTAATGTAATAAAATCATAATTTTATATTAGTTAATTTTTTTTTAAAATGTTAAAACATTTATCTAAATAAAAGATTTAATTAAGAGAATGAATAAAATAATAGAAAGTTTGAAAAATAAAAGAAGTATTAAATTAAAAATAAAAGAATTTTCAAATTATCAGAGTAGAAAATAGATAAATAGATAATAAGAAATATTAGTGATTAAAAAAAAAAAAAATTAATATTTTTTTTTTTAAGAAATAAACTTGTTTATAAAAATTTTCTATTTTTTATTAAAATATGAAAATTTATTAAATTAAAATAGTTACTAATTTTTTCGAAAAATATTTTGATGAAATTAATAAAAAAAAAATTAAATAAATGGAAACTTAAATAATAATTATAAAAAAAATGGTTAAAAAAAATAAAATATTTTAAAAAGATTATAATTTAAAACATATAATAGATAAACAAAGATTTATATAATCAAGAAATTATTCAAATTTTCCTTTTTTTTAAAAAATAAATAACAAAATATATTGCAATATAAAATAATTGACATTAATAGAAAGAAATAATACTTAGAAAAAAAATATCGAATAAGATTAATAATTAGATAAAATAATGATTATTTATTAGAATTTATTGAAAATTATATAAATAAATAATAAACTAATTATATAAAATCTTCAATTAAGAAAAAAAAATTAAAAAAAAATATTTTTTTATGATAAAAATAAAAGAAATAGCAAATAATAATTTATTTAATTAATGTGTTTAAAAATTATATACAAATAAAAAATTATATATTAATATAGAATAAAAAAATATGTATAATTATTATTATAATAAATCTTAATTATATATAAAAAATCAATAAATTAAAATATGTATATATATAATATTTTTTCATTATATTTTTAAATATTTTATTTAGTAAAATAATATATAAAAAAATAATGGATTTAAAACAATTTTTAATTATATTATGCTTAAATTTTATAATATAAGCTTAAAATTATTAATGTACATAGGATTTAGAGAGCAAAAAATTTAAAAAAGTTAAATTATACACTAAAATAAAAATATTAATTAATTTAAAAAAGGGAGATAAAGTAGTATTATGTGCGCATTTTACATAAATTGGAAAAATTCCATTTGAAGTTACTGTAGATAAATATGTAGGTCTTGATATAAAAAGTGTATACGATTAAGCATCAAAAGTAACTGACAAAAAAAATAATATAAAATTACTGCTTTAAGTACATAATCAAAAAGCAATATCTACAGCAATAGTAAATATTATATATTCAAAATATAAATAGTATAAATGTAATAAGACAATTAGATTATATTTTTATAACAAAAAAATAAATAAAAAATATGAAAAAAATAAAATATTAATATATAAAGGATTATTTAACAATAGATTAAAAACTATATCCATTATATTCAGCTGTGATTTATATTAGAGATGGAAGAATTATATCTGTAGAATGGGATAATGCCTGTTGGGACGTAAAATAGGTTATTAAATTAAAAATTAAAAATTAAAAATAAATAAATATATATATATATATATATATATATATATATATATATATATATATATATATTTATATGTATTTATAATTTAATATTTTTTTATTTTTTTTTTAATTTTTATATTTTTTTTATTAAAAGTAATGTGGATATTATAATGTTATTGGAAGTGATAATATATCAGTTGAGGAAAGAAATAATTATATAAAATAATCTGAATGTACATCATCTCCCAAAATTATGTGAACCTAAAGTAATATTTATTTATTCAATAAAATATCTTTCAATATAATAATTATAGATTTATGTTTCTTGGATGGGAACTGATTCAAATGATGATCATATGACATCTGGAGGTTTAAGAATATCATAATTTAAATAATTTTCTACTGGTGAGATTTATGCAAGTTCGAAGAAAGCATTTTAATAAATAAAAGATAAAATATAATGACATATACATAATTAAATTGTAAAAATAAGAATATTATAGAAGAATTTATAAATAATATTTTTTCATATAAAAGTATAAATTATTTAAGCACTTTCGTTTTCTTATTTATCTTATTCACTATTAATATCCTTATTACTTTTTTAAATAATACTTTAATTAAGTATTTTATCTTTATAAAACTTCACTTTTTTCTAATTTCCTTTATAATCTGTAATAATCCCTTCCCCATGCTTTTTATCATCCAAAAATAATCCCTCATACATATATTTTTCTCCAAAATATTTTATATTTCCTTTTCCACATTTCATTCCGTTTTTGTAATTTCCCTTATATTCATATACTCCTTTTATAATTTCCACTCCATAATTTTCTTTTTTTCCTTTAAAATATTCTCCATGAAAATAGATTCCCTTAGAAGCATCTCTATATTCCCCTATTCCATGTTTAAGTCCATTTTCGAACATTCCTTCAAAGCTTTTCTAAAAATCTCCCCCATAAACAATCATCCCTTTCCCCTGATACTTATCTAACGAAAACTATCCAGTATAAACATCTCCATTCCTAAAATAAAGTATCCCATTCCCATGTTTTTCATGTTTGGGTTGATTTTCATCATAGAAAATATCGCCTACATACTTCAATTTATCATCATAGTAATACAATGTACCTTATACAAGCTAATCATTAATAAACATTCCTTCACAAATAATCTTATTACCCGAAAAATACCTTCCGAAATCCCAAAACTTCCCTTATAAAATCCCTCCTTAATACCTATCCCCATTCTAGAACATAATATTAGTTTAATAAACGCAATCTTTTTCCACAAAACCCTCTATTTCTATTTAATTTCCGATACAAAACAAGGACCCTTTAACAGGTTCCCAATTAATAAGATTGCCTTAATACTTGCACCCTTCTAATAAATGCTAGAGTATATTTACGGAATTTCCAAAGCCTTTCACAGCCTATAATAGACTTATATTTTTATCAGAAATTCCATATATATCATTAAAAATGGTATATGAATAAGTTGCATAATCAAACAAAAAAGCCTTATTATTGTTCCCTTGGATATAAAGACTCTTAAATTCGCTTATAAAAAGGACTTATGAAACATTTTAACCAACTAGAGGTTTATTATTATTTTCGTCAAAATCACAAGCTTACCAATTTCCGTAGAAATCCACGAATTTATTCTATGTTTAATAAATATTATTTATTTAATTCATCACTTTTTTCATTTGTTGGCTTTCTTTAAATTAATCCGCTTTTTCAAAAGTATCTTCTAAAAAACTTTTTTCGCAATCTTATTTTGGCATTCTAGTTAAATTATCCAAACCAAAAAGTTAATTTTTCTTAATAAAACGATTAGTGAGCATACCACCTGATGGTTAGCCGTTTTTATCGAAAATACCGCTAATTATTCTTTCTTCAGGGATATATAAGGTACCTTCACCAGATAAATAATCATTAGCGATATTTTGTTGTTCTTGTACATTTAATTAAAGCTCCGAATTGTAAGATGTTAAATAATATCTTTTTTAAGAATTCGATATAAATACTGATCCTCCAGGTAATAAATAGACTTTGTTTTTCTTAAAAAAATCAGATTCAAGTTATTTGGATTTATTATTACTGGTGTTCATTAAATCATTATAAGAATCAGAAAGATAATTCTTAGGTTATATAAGAGGGTTTTTAGATTATTAAGTATCTTGTAATTATTAATTAATTGGAATTTTTACATGAGGAATATTTTAATCTATTTATTTTAAAGATATAGAATTTTATTAGTAATTATTTACTTATGTACTATTTTAATTAATATCAATTTATTATTATTATTATTATTATTATTATTATTATTATTATTATTATTATTATTATTAACTATCTATTTATTATAATTTATTTTAATTTTCCTATTCTTATTATTTATTGATATTTTTAATATTATTATTTTATTTATTCTAATTTATATTTTAATTATTACTTTCATTATTATTTTAATTATTTTCTTTTTATTAATTATTATTTATATTTTCTTCTTCATTATAAAACCTTATTCTTTAATTTGCTTTTATTTTCTAAATTGCATCTTCAAAATTATAAACTTAAAAAATCCCTTTTTAAATTTCTAAATAATTCTTTATAAAATTATGAATTTGCAACAAAACATCTAAACCACTAGGTCTTGCACAAGCTTCAAACTATAAACATTATCTAATAATTCCTTCTAAAAGACATTTAAATTCATAAGAACAATTTTCTATATTTGCTTATTTTTTATTATCTATATTAAAGAATAATTAATCCAAATGATTTAATTACTAAAATTTCATTAGATTTTTTATGCATTCTTATACTTAACTAACATCTTCTAGTACATTATTTCCATAATATAGCTTATATAAAATCACTCCCATTGCCCACATATCACTTTTGCATACATCCTAAGGCGTTTCCTCTAAATAACTCTCTAAAGGTACACTATGGAAGTCTATTTCGAATTTTGCGTCTAATAAAACTAGTATATTAGGTAATTTTATGAATCCATCCATGTCTATTAGGAGTATGTTTTTTCCAAAAAAGGCTAAATATCCATACAATTGACTCATATGTAAAGCCGCAGTTAAAGCTGATATTTAGAAAAGGGTCTAAATGTCCTAAATATCGTTAAATTTAGAAAAATTATGACTATAAGGTTCTGTAAATATCGCTTCTAAATCTTCTTATAGAGCATATAAATTCAAAAAGAAAGGGGAAGCTTATTTAGCCAAATTCAATAAAAATTATTCTTTATTTTTTATATCTAAATATCTATTTTTTGTATTCCATTTAGAAAAAAGTTATTTATTAAACTGAAAATATCCTATATTTTTTTCCTAATCTAAAATATTATATTAACCCTAATTTATTAATAGAGGTACATTTTTGGCAAAAAAAGAGGGTAAATCATTATTTTTTGGTGTTTTTTTTAAAGGTTTGATTAAATTAAAAAGCCATAAAGGGGTTGGATTATAAAAATCATTTAAAATTTTTGCATTTATAATATTTTCTCTTAAAATCTTATTTAAGTTATTATCTAAAAAGCTCTATTTATACATGTTTTCCTATTTAAACATTATTTTATTTCCAAAATCATAAATTAAAAAAGCATCTCGTCTATCAGAATGACCAGTATTGGTATTATGTATAATATTATGCAATTTTTAGTGTTCTTTTGACAGAAAAAGTCTTGTTTCATATAGATTTTTCCCTAGAATCTTTTATATGTAAATCTACCAGTCTATAAGTATTTTTTCTTCGCTTTTTTTCTTATTTTATTTACCACATTCTTCCCTATTTATGAACATAATGGAAATATATTCGTAAAGTTTTACTGGTTGTACATTTTTTTTTACAAAAGATAAAATTTTTTAACCATTTTATTAATTTTTTTCTAAATAAAATCCTTTTTTTATTAATTTATATAGAATAAATAGTTTATAAATAAGCGAAAATTCGTCTGTATTATGAAGTAAAATTTAAAAATAGGTCAAAGCGCCTAAATAGTCTCTATATTAAGGGAAAAGTATACTTAAAAAATACGAAAAAAGAATCTTGTTCCCGTTTTCGTTATTATCTTTATAGTTGTTATTTATTAGCTTAACTGCATCTTTGTATTCCCCAATCTTAATTAGAGTATAAGCCTTTTTTACATATAAATTAGTTGTCTAAATTACTAAATGCGCTTCTTTATATTATTTAACGTAGCAAAGTAAACTATATAGTATTGTAGAAGTCTATTCATGACCTAAACAGTATAAAATACGGTAACATTTTAACGCTGATGCTACATCTTAGTCTTATATAAGCACTTTTTCACCTAAAGTTATTAGAGATTGGACGTAATTATCGTTAAAAGCAAAATATCTCCATTAATCTTCTTCATGTTTTTATAAAGGTAAACCTTAGAAAATTTTATTATATAATTACTGCCAACTATAAAATCTATTATTTTAATTAAAATCAATTTTATTGAAAATTTATTAAGAATTTTAAATAGAGTATTAAATTTATTATGAAAAATTTTAAAAATCAAAACTTTTAGCATTATCTAAATCGCTTTATGATAAAATTTGTAAATTTTTTTAATTTACATAAATTTAACTTTAACTATTTTCTATTATTAAAGTATGATGATGATTATTATTATTATGATTATTATGATATTAATTATTATTATTATTATTATTATTATTATTATTATTATTATTATTATTATTTTTATCATTTATATTGTTATTTTCATTCATATTATTAACATCATTATTTTTATTTTTAATATCATTATTATTATCATTATTATTAATTATTTCTTAATATATTTTTTAAAATTCTTCTTTAAAAAAAATTATTTAATAAAAGCTTTTATTATTATCATTTTCGAAAATACATCTATTTAAACTATCTATTATTTCTTCTAAATATTAAATTTTTATATTATTAGTTATTACCTCATTTAAATGAGCATTTTTTATATAACAATTTATAAATTATCCAAAAATATTATCTATATTATCTTTTTTATCCTATTAAACATTACTATTTTTTTTTATATTACTATTTATTTTTTATTTTTTGACTCTTTCCAACACTCCTTATTAATTGATTAATGACTAGCATTTTTAAACAAAATAATTTTAAAAATGTGGATAGCAATCAATAGCCGCAAAAATTAATTACATTGTAAAAATCTAAGGAAAAACCATCAAATCTTTATAAGGTTTTTGAAATCCTATTTAAGAAAACAATCTTAACGAAAGTTAACACACTTCTTCCAATTACATATCCTATATTAAAGTAATTCCTTCCAATAAATCACTCAAAAGGTTATTTGATTTCGGCCAGTCTTCATTTTCTTCACTTTTTAATACATCGAGGATTGTTTTAGATATCTAAGAGTTCATTTACGTTAAGCTTTGTAATATAATAGGGTCTAAAGGGTATTAATATATTTAATTTATGAATGATTTGGCAGAATTCCATTTATAAGTTCTAGTAAAAGTTTTTGTAAATAATTATTCTTTGGCTTATTAGAAATTAAAGTTCGGGTCAATATCTTTTAAAAAATGCATTTAGGATAAAGGCATTAATTCGTTGTTTATTATAAAAAAATGACCTTAACATTCTACTAGTTATATGTTTATGTCTTCTTGAATTTTCATGCTTTAATGTTATTTTGATTATTCTATATATTTGTTTTGCGTTGCATTAAATCTTCTAGTCATTTTATTTTATATATATATATATATAATAAAAAAAAATTTAAGTTACTTTTTTTAAAAAAAAACTAAAAAAATATATAATTGATGTTATCAATTTTTTTTATTATTAAATCTCTTTATATTTTATTTTATTGTTATTATTATTTTTAATAGATTTTTTTTTTTATTATATTTATACACAATATTTTATTTTTACTAAAATATCTTAAATTTTTTAAAAATCAAATTAGACAAATAATACTAATTATAGATAAATATATTTTTAAAAGAATATATCTTAATAACTATTATTTATAATACTAAATTTTATATTTAAACTAAATTATTAAATAAGTTTATTTTAATTGTTAAAACTTGTTAATAATAAATAAAAAATCTTATATATTCATATATAAAAATTATATATTAAATTTAAAAAAAGAAATTAACAATTAATTAACAAAAAAAAATTCTTTTTTTTTTAAAAAAAAAAATATATTTAATAAAAGTTTCATAAAAAAAAAACCAAAAACAAGTAATAATGAGTAATAATCTATAAGATCAATAATAATAAGGTAAAAAAAAAAAACCCCCGCAAAATAAAATAATAGTAAATTAATAAAAATACAGATAATGATAGTGATGAAGATACAGAAAATCCATATGTACCTAAACCATATATTTCGAAAACTGGCGATTCGGGCGAAGAGACTTTAAAAGAAATCCAAAATTTCTAAATAAAGCGAAATCGTCCAAAAATAAAGATGCAATTTATCAAAAAACGTAAAGAATTCGGCTAACAATGTAAACTAATAGAAACCGACGCAAACGAAAAAGCTCTTGAAATAAAATAACAAAATGATCCTTTTGCACACATTAAAAATAAGGTAATAGATATTGGTTTATAAGCTAGTAATCCATTTACATCTTCATCTACATAAACAACCTGGAGTCGACATGTAAATTAAGCTTTGTAATTAAAACATGAATTCAATATTGTGGAAATGGAGGATGATAATAATGATTTATTAAAGTTTTTAGACAATGTATACCCTTTAATGGAAGAAGCTCTTTAATCTAACGAAACAATCGATATATATCAAAACGATTTCGATTTATTTAACTCAGAAGACATCACCACAGAAGGATCAGAACTGTCTAATACTATAAAAGAATTAAAAACATTCTCTTATATAAACTCTAAAGGCAGAAAAGTATCATCAATAGAATTCCAACCTCCAAATTAATCAAATTAAAAAGGAAAATTTATTGCAGCTTCTTTTGTTGAAAATTTAAGCTTTGAAGAAAGAGTAGCTTTTTAATAAAAATCGCACAAATTTATGATTGTTTTCTGGGATTTTTCAGATTAACATTCTATAGACCCTATTCTAACTTTAACAACACCATTAGAAATTATAACATTTTAATTTAATCCAAAAGATCCTAATATAATAATAGGTATATAAAATATATATATAAATATATATATATATATATATAATATATATCTAAATATATATTTATTTATATTTTTTACTTATTTATATATATTATATAATTTAGGTGGAGCTATTAATGGATAAATTTTAATGTGGGATCTTGGACCTAGTAATATTAATAATTTATTAGGAAAAAAAGGTTAAAAAATGACTAAAGATAAAAGTGAAATTCCAGAACTTAATCCTATGATTATGTCTTGTTTATAAGATCCTGCCAGTGCATCAGCACCTATTACTAATGAAGTTATCAAAAAAAATGTTAATTCTCATAAAAATCCAGTATTGAGTTTATAATGGTTACCAACTACTATTGAATTTAATTCGAAAGCTATACTTAATTTAATTGTTCATCCAAGTATATTTGTATTTAAATGTTTATATTTTTATATATACGAATATAGATGGAGGAGAATGTCATTAATTTGCTTCTATTTCTTGTGATGGTTAAATTTTATTTTGGGACAAAAGATTTAATTATAATGAGCCTAAAAAAAATTTTGATGTAAAAAAATAAAATATTATAAAAACATAATATATATGATTTATAAAAGATAAATACTCATTAATGGAAAGCAAATTACGGTTTATAATTAATCCGTCCTGAAGGAGGTGGAATAATGGGTGGAGCTTAAATAAAATTCCGCAAAAACTAAAAAATAGCACAGTTTACAGGAACATCAGACGAAGGTGAATTATTCTTAGTTGATTGGACAGCAACAAATGCTGGAGGAGTAGGGACAGATGAAAAAGTTTTAAAAATATGGTAATAAGAGCGTTCATATAGACCTCCTGTAGGGCTAGATGTAAGCAATTTCTTCGATGATATAATATTAACGTTACATGATTTTAACTTCTCAATATGGAAACATGACGTTGATGTCCCAATCTTCGATTCCGCAATAATAAAAAACGGATAAATTACATGTGGGTAATTTTCACCAAGTAAACCGAGTGTTGTAATTATAGGATTAAATGATGGACATATTCATATTTGGGATTTTCTTGATTAATCTCATAAAGCTACATTAATTTACCATGTAGGAGCAAAAGCTATTTCGAATATAAGATATAATGATCATTAACCTTAATGTTTGGTAAAATAAAAATTTAATATGAAAATAAAACATATATATATATATATATATATATATATATATTTATATATATTTATATATATTTATTTATATTTATATTTTAATATATAATTACTTTTCTTTTTTTATAAAATTTTTTTAAAAATAAATATAGGCTGTAGGAGATGCTGATGGAACAATCCATATTTTAGAATTGCCTTATTCTTTATGGAAAAATGTAGGTGAATAAGAAAAAACAATGAAAGAATTTTGGAATAGAGAAGTTTTAAGAGTTAATTATTTTAAAGTAAGATTTTAAAATAGAGAAGAGGAATTTAAAAAAGAAAAAGAATTTAAAGATTTTTTATAGGCTGAAGAATATAATTAAAAAAAAGATGTATCTTATATTATATAATATATTTTTATGTTTTTTAAATATAATTAGGAATCTTAATAAGACGAAGATGAATAAATAGAACGAGAATATTAAGAATTTGCAAAATCATATATGAATGAAGTTATATATGGAATAAAAACTGAAAAAGAAGAAGAAAAAGAAAAAAAAAAAAAATGAAATTTTTATATAAAAAATAAAAATATTAATAAATTATATATATTTAATTTTTTTAAAAATTTTATAAATAAAAAAAATATTTATAAAAAAATAAATAAATATGTATATATTAAATTAAAAAAAAATATATATATATACATATTTATATATATAATTTTATATATATATATTTATATTTATATATTATAATCATTTTTTTTTCTTAAATCTTATATATCTTTTAATATTTATATATTCGAATTTTGTATATTTTATTTGAATTCATCTTAATAATTAATAATTTATTCTAATTTATTGTTTATTTCTAAAATATCTAATTAGTTTTAATTTTTATCTATTTAATTAGTATTATTATTATTTTCATTTTATGTTTAGTATTTATTATATGTTAATAATTCTTATTTTAATTCACTTAATTATTGTCGAATATTCATTATCTAATTTTCTAATTATTTTCCATTTTTAAAATAAATATTATTATTAATTAATTGAACTTTTTATTTTTTATTTCCTTTTAATAAGATGTTTATTATATTTAATATATCTGAAAAAAAATATAAAATTATCCCTGTATAAAAAATAATATTTAAAGGATATATTTATTTTAATTAATCATAAATAGGCGATATATATAATATTACTATATCTTCAACAAATTACATGCAATATTCTATTAAATTTGCATATAATGGAAATACTGAATATTTATTTTATTACATTCTATTTATTATAATATTTTTATTTAATATAAACTAATATTATATTATATTTTAAATAATAAATAATTTTTTTTTTTTTTTTTATATATATATATATATATATATATATATATATATATTTTTATTATTTAAAATTTTTACATTTGTTGTTTTTTTATAATTATTAATTAATAAATAATTTTTTTTAAAAAAAATATACAAAACAGAATTATTTATAAATTTTAACTTTAAAAAATCAAATATAAAATAAAAATAATAACAATACTAAAAAATTAATATAAAATAGTATTATTTATTTATAGTTTAAATTATAGCAAATAAACTAAATTTTTATTATTTTAAAAATATATGTTCTTTTAATTTCATTTTTATTTATTTTTAATAATCGCATTTATATTATAATTTTAATCAATCAATCAATTTACTTATATAAGGTCATAGCAATAATAAAAATAAAAACATATTTACACACTATTATTTTATATATTATTATTTTTTTCAAATATTCTATTAAAATGCTTTATGATATTTAATTACTTAAACTTTTTTAAAATTTAAGTTTTTTATATTCATTTTTAGTTTAACAATATGTCCCTGAATATAATTTTGAAATATTATTTCCGTTTTCAATCCATAACTACTTCAATAATTTTATAAAACTATAATTTTATCCTTTTTGAAAAAGCTCTTTTCTTTACAAGCATTTAATTTTTTAATAATATCCATAAGTTCAAAAATAAATTCTTAACATAAATTAATTATTTCTATCTAAAGAATATTTTTTATTAATTTTATAAACCTCTTTTATTCTTCAATAATTTTCTCTTTATGATTTTTTTCTATTAAAAATTTGAATTCTTTTTTTTTTTTTATTTTACAAAACCCAGATACTTATTCATATAAAACTTCAGTCCTTTTATAAATATCAAAATGAACATATTTTATTCCTTAAATATAATTTAAATTATTCTCGGAATTATCAGACTACATTTATTCTTTTTTATTTCCTTACCAGTATTATATAACTTGTATAAGTAAAAGAATTATCATTTTTTATTTTTTTAAAACAAGAAGGAGATAAAATAATTCTTTATAACAAAAATTTATTATCTTTATTAATTTTCTTTCTTAAATTAATAGTTATTATCTATTATTAATTAATTTTTAAGTTAATTTATGTTGATTATTATTTATTTTATGTAAATTATTCAATTTTTTTTTTTATTCAATAATGATATTATTATTTTTTATATTTTGCAATTTTCTTCCTCCTATATATATTTCAACTATAGGAAGTAAATTATCTAAATACTTTTGGTTAAAATATAAATATTTATTGTCAATTTAACCTATAAAAAATTATTTTTAGTCCTATTTTGAATGAAAAACACCAAAATAAAAATAATAAATGGGACATATTATCCTTTTCAAACGTAAAAATTAACAGAGTATTAAATAACGTTTTCTTTTTTACAAATTTACTAAAAAAAATTGCATTTGGTAAACTTAAAGCTAAATATATATTTTTTTGCATATATGTCTCATAATGCTAATTTTAAAGAAATTATACTTCTTTTATTTATTATTATGTTGATTACATAAAATCTATATACTTCATAGTTTTTCAAATATATATTCAAACAATATGACGTTTCCTAAATTCCTTTAAAATTGTAATTTATTAAGGTTTCTTTAAACTCTTTTTAACTTATATATATATATATATATATATATATATATATATATATATATATATATATATATATATATATATATGTATATATATGCGATATTATATTTTTACGACATGTTATTAATTTTTTATGTATGTTTATCATATATTTTAATTAATTTAGAGCAATATATTAGAAAGATTATACTGTAAAATAATAAAAAATATGTAAAATAAAAAAAAGGATAATATTGATATAAAAATTGTGAATGTGAACAATTTGTATTTAAAATTTATATTATATTTGCTTTATATTTTTCAGGTATTTATTTAATTATTTTTTGTAAAAAATATTTAATTTTATTAATTAAAATACTATAAAAATAAAAAATTATTTCTTTTATAGTTTTTATTTATAATATAAATTTAGTAAATATAAAATTAAAATATTTTTAATAAAATAATTTTAATATTGAATTTTTAAATTTATTAAATAGATAATTTGATAGAAAAAAAAGATTTATATTTTTTAAATAAAAATAGATATTATTATTATAAAAAAAAAATATATTATAAATATTATATAACTGTCTATTTTAAAAATATTTATTTATATAAAATTTTATATATTAAAAAAATAAATTATTAATAATATAAAAAAGAAAATATCTAATATAAGAAATTAATAATTAATTTAGAAAATACAAAAATATTAAATATTAAAAATAAAATAATGAGACAAAGATATAATTATATTTTTAGTTTATATAATATAAAATAAATATTATTAATTTTAATTTTATAAATAAATAAAAAAAATATAAATTATATATAGATATTAATTTTATATAAATAGATATTATTAATTAAAAATATATTTAAATAAAATAAATATATATATACATATAATAAAATAAAAAACATATTATATAAATTAAATTTAATTAAATTAAATTAAATTAAATTAAATTAAATTAAATTAAATTATATATTATAAAAAAAATATTTTATATTTATCTTTTAATAATCAAAATATATATTTTATATTAGAATTTTTAATTTTTTTTTTTTAATTTTAATTTTTTTTTTATTATTTTTCATTAATCATTTATTTAATTCTTATTATCTTTATAACTATTATATTTATTTTCTGTTTTTTTTTGTATTTTATTTTTTATGCTCCTGAATTTTCAGCCTTTTTTTTTCTTCTTCTATTATAATTATTTTTATCATTAATATTATTTAATGAATTTTTATTATGACTTTTATCACTACTTGTAACATCTTCAAAATCATCTTCTTTTATATTCTATTTTTCTTAACTTTCACAAATAGTTAGTGTTAATATGTTTTTTAATTATTATGTATAATTTTCTTATAAATTATTTTCCAAATTATGAAAAAACCCTTATTATTCAAATTAAGAATTTTCCAAATTTTATTCCTATTATTAATGTTATTATTGCTAATCTCTATTTATAGGAGATATTTATTATTTCAAACTATTACTTTTATCTCTAATTTAATTATTTTTATTTTTTTATTATTATTATTTCTAATTATCTAATTGCTTAGATTTTTAGGAACTCTATTATCTATATTTTAATAATTATTAAGATTCATTTACACTTTTACAATCACTAAAAGACTAATCATTTAAAAAGCTTTAATTTTATTTCTAAAAAACATATTTATTATTAATTTAAAATTAATAATTTTCCAACCCTTACTATAAATTTTGATTTTCATAAGTGTGCTACCTTTATATCAAATTTGAAGGCTATTTCAATTTCAATTTCAATTATTATTAAGTTTAACATATTTAATCTTATTTGTTTACATTTTTATTAGGATTCGAAAATGCAGTTCTCTATATATGCTAATTACTAATATTTTTTTATAAAATTTATGTTTTTGAATGAAATTTTAAAATTTAAGGAATTGCAATTTTCCCATATAATTATTTAAAGTTCAATATTATTTTTTTAGGATTTCCTTTAGATTATTCAAATATTTGCAAATGGGATTTTCTCATTTAAAATATCTTCTATTTACTTATATTATCTAAATCAATTAATGAGTCCATAAAATTTAGTGCTTCTTTTTCATTGAAAGGCTTTATTTGATGATAGTACATATTTTTATTTATATATAATTCATAATTATTTGATTTTTAAAATAAATAATGCAGGCTTTTCTATGTAATAAGAATATGATGAATATTAAATTTTTAAAGTTAAGAAAATATCAATTCATAATATTCAACTTATTTTTATGCCTACTTCTTTTATATTATGTAATCAAAATTATCGAATATTAATAATATTTATTGTTTTTTAAAGTATTCATTCATGTCTTAACTAAAATCTTATCCTAAAATCGAATCCATATACATTTTTAAATTATTGTTGAAATTCCCAAGTTTTTTCAAATCAAAAATGTATATTCCATAACTAAACACATTTTTAGTAAATGTATAATAAGCAATCTTTTTTAATTAAAATAAAATAAATTATAAATTATTAATTTTTGTTAATTTACTTATTAACCTAAAATTGATTTTCCTACTCCCTATTCCCCAAAAATATTAACAGGTTTTTACAGTACAT